TCTCTATCTTCACAAGGTAGGGGTAAGATCTGCTATTCACATTACTCTCCCCAGATCCCGCTTATAAAATTACACTGAATTTATATTGTTGTTATTGTTCAAATTTTTGTTGGCCTGCATTTTGCCTATCTCGTTATCTTATGTCTTGTACAAAATTAAAGTCTCCCATCAAATTTTATTGATCATTCATACACAACAAAGCGAGTGATTTTATTTTGTGTCTCACACAACTTACACTAGTTGTGTGAGGCCTCTTTTTATCTCACATATTTGTGGACCCATATCTTATACATTTGGGTCCACAAAATTCTGAAATCCACACAGTGTGAGACAAAAAAGAAGCCTCACACAACTAGTGTCAGTTGTGTGAGGCACAAAATAAAATTTTTCCAACAAAGTAGGTACCTCTATGCATTAAAAAACTCGATAATACGTCTTAAAAGTTTGTAGACATGAACATATATTGGTGTAAAATAACATGTATATGTTTGTCACGATCCGGATTTCCCACCCTCGGAAGTCGTGATGGCGCCTACTCGTAGAAGCTAGGTAAGCCACGAAATTATGAATTCTTAACTCTTTTGTTTTAATCCTTTTTACAACATATATTAACAAGCGATAAACATTTAAATAACAACGGAATATGAGGTTTAAGCGGAAGACTTAGACAAAATGCACCAAAATGATAAAGAAATTCACATATGCCTCTACCCAGAAACTGGTGTCACATCATTCACGGACTACTAAGATTACTACATACAACTGTTTGAAAGAAAGTAACATTGTCTGTCTCGAATACAAGAGATAACAGAACATAATAAAAGATAGAGGAGACGCCGGGCCTGCGGACGCCTGCAGGGCTACCTCGGTGTCTCGGTGGACTGAAGGCTGGCTCCCGAACTACTGTTGTTGTCCCAGTGCTGCCTCGGTATCTGCACAGAGTGCAGAGTGTAGTATCAGCACAACCGACCCCATGTGCTGGTAAGTGTCTGGCCTAACCCCGGCGAGGTAGTGACGAGGCTAGGACCGGACTCCAGATAAACCTGTGCAGTTATATAATATATGCGGAAAATAAACAGGAATAAATAGTTTAAATGGGAGGGGGTACATGCTTCGGGGAAACATATCAAATCTAACAGAAATTTAATAAAATATGGAAGGACAATTCAATATCTACAACAAAGCAATAATACTACTATTGCGGCGTGCAACCCGATCCCTTATCATTTAACAATATTGCGGCGTGCAACCCGATCCACATATGTATAACAATGTTGCGGCGTGCAACCCGATCCAATATAATATCTGTTGCGGCGTGCAACCCGATCCAATATAATATCTGTTGCGGCATGCAACTCGATCCAATATAATATCTGTTGCGACGTGCAACCCGATCCACATATATATAATAATGTTGCGGCGCGCAACCCGATCCAGATATAATATCAACAGTGATCATAATAATAGTCCCGGCAAGGGATCAACAATAAACTACACGATCCCGGCAAGAAAATTCAACAGTACAAGTATATACGTCCCGGCAAGGGAGAATCAGCTATAACCAATCTTAACTCAACTCCTACTCATCTCAGTTATCACCATTTCTCAATCATAAGTAACTTCCACGAAAATAAACTAAGTCTTTACTCATTATCAAGAATTCACCCACTAAAGCATTCGTAGGATCATTTAAGAATACAACAAGTATCAATTTAGGACTCACGGTTATGCTCAACGCCAACGTATAGATACTCGTCACCATGCCTATACGTCGTACTCAACAAGAAGCAAATAGCAAATAGGACTCAACTCGTAATCCCTCAAGCTAAGGTTAGAACGAACACTTACCTCAAACTTCCACGGCCAACTCAAGCCTCAAATACCGCCTTTCCTTTCGAATTTGGCTCCAACACAATCGTATCTATGCATAATCGATTCAATAACATCAATAAATGCTAAACAATCCAATTTCAATGCTTAATTATAGCTTTCTAATCATTCTTCCCAAAAACCCAAAAATCGACCCTGGGCCCGCTTGGTCAAAACATGAGGTTCGGACCAAAATCAAATCACCCACGAGCCCAAATATATAATTATTTTCAGAATTCGATCCCAAAACGAGGTCTAAATCACAATTAATCAAAAAGCCCTAACTCTAAACCAAATCCCTAATTTTCTACCCTTATTCACATGATTTAAGCCTAGAAATCTAATGGGTGTTAATGGAAATTGAAGAAAATGAGTTAAAGATTACTTACCCAAGAGATTATGGTGAAGAATTGCTCCAAAAACCGCCTAAGAGCTTTGGAGAAGAAGAGGTTTGTGAAATTTTTATAAAATCCCATAAGTGTTCTGTTTTTTGGGCCTTTAAAATAACTGGGCGAAAATGTGCATCACGTTCGCGACAGACCCTTCGCGTTTGCGATGGGTCATGCTGCATAAGCCTTCGCGTTCGCGGACAATGGCTCGCGTTCGCGAAGTAGGAACTGCTCGAGCCTCGCGTTCGCGTTCGCGTTCAAGGGATCGAGTTCGCGTAGGGAAGTTTCCCCACCCCTGCCCAGGCCCACGTTGGCCTTCGCGTTCGCGTGGCCAGGCTCGCGTTCGGGAAGGGATGACCCCCCACTGCCTCGCGTTCGCGACCTGGGCTACGCGTTCGCGTAGAAGGATTTTCCTTCGACAAAATTAATGTATCGCGTTCGCGTGGGTTCTCCCGCGAACGCGAAGAAGAAAGTACCAGAATACCAGATCTGTTGTTTTCTGCAATTTTTCTTAAGTTCAAAACTTTCCGAAACACATCCGAGCCCTCGGGGCTCCTAACCAAACATAGGTACTAACTCAACAACATCATACGAACTTATCCGTGCAATCAAATCGCCAAAATAATCTCAATAACAACGAAGAATTTTTCTTTAACTTCATAAGACATCAACTTTAGCAATTTAGGTCCGAATCACGTTAAACGATGTCCGTTTTTCACCAAATTTCACAGAAACATCTTAAATCATATATAAGACCTGTACCGGGCGTCGGAACCAAAATACGGGCTCGATACTAACATGTTCTAATCAAATTTCATTTCAAATTTCCTTAAACAATTTCAAAAAACAATTTCCTTCAGAAATTCATTTCTCGGGCTTGGAACCTCGGAATTCGATTCCGGGCATACGCCCAGGTCCCATATTTTTCTACGGACCCTCCGGGACTGTCAAATCACGGGTCCGGGTCCGTTTACCCAAAACGTTGACCGAAGTCAAATTTATTCATTTTATAGTCAAAACTTATCATTTTTCACAGATTTTCACATTTAGGCTTTCCGGCTACGCGCCCGGACTACGCACGCAAATCGAGGTGATGCTAAGTGAGGTTTTCAGGGCCTCGAAAACACAAAATGTAGTTTAGAGACATGACGCAAATTGATCTGTACATCATCATTATAAGGAAAAAATATTGTGTTACATTAACAACTCATAAACAAAAAGACTTTAACATTAAAAAGATGGTCAAAGAACATATTTCATTCATGGTCGGTCTTTCTAAAAGTAGTGGTCTATAAAGGCATAATCGATGAATAACCTATGGGTCTATTCGAACTCTTGATTTTGCATAAAACTTGTATATATGTTAAAAATAATTATTAAATATGCAAAAGTGATAGAATTTGCACCCAGTAAATTAGATGAAAGTGATAGAACTGGGAATCTAAACCCATAAAATTCAAATCCTGGATCCATATTAAAAATCAAAAGAGTTTTACATGAACGTACTATCAATATCACTAGTTGGTGTAAGAATTTAACGTATAGATCCAAGAAAACGAAGACTATTCAATTTACTTGCATGAAAAGGGCAATCTCAGTAATTTTGCAGAAGATTGACAAAATCATGAAAGATTTACCCATCCTCCTTTATACATATAGCAGCTCATGATCAGTACCCTTATTTATATCTATATAATTTAGTTCAACTACCAATATATTACTCATTAGTGCAAGAATTGAACATATACATAGACAAGAAAATCAAGGCACTTTAAACTTGCATAAAGATGGCAATCAATAACACTCGACAAGATTGAGAAAACCAAGAAAATCAACCTTCCTCCCTCATAGGTTGCAGCTCATGACTAGCTACCACCATCACATTAATTTTACGTATGGTCACACAATGCTATCTACTACTATAACAATAAAAGTCGCCAATAAGAAAGGATGGTATTTTTAGGTAACAAACCACGCCAAGCAGGCTAATCCCGTAGCAAGAAAAAAAGCAGAAAGGAACCGGGGTGGCCTACAGACAACAACCGCAGCAGTCACTAGTTTGGACCCCTACCCCACAAAGTAGCTTGATGGCCGAACCACTCCCAAGGCGAATAGTGCCCTAGGGGCCGACCCGGCACCGACCGAAGAACGGAAGCGAAGCGCTATGCCAGGGTGGGGGGACGGAAAAAGAAACGGCTCCGAAGAAAAAAATTGGGGTACCCAATGCTTCTCCACACTCAACGAGATGCGCCAACCTCGGGATACTTTACCTGGAGATATCAGAAGTAAGAATGCTGACATGAGTAACGAAAAATCCTGTGAAAAACACGGTCGTCTGCTAGTGGAAGGTTTTCTGCGTTCAGTCAATCTATGCAGAGTGTAGAGCCTATACGGGGAATAAGATATAGTGATGCCAACAAATCTCTCTTCTATTACGAAGACCGCCCGGTCGTAAAGCTTATCCAGAAGATGTTTTATTTGCATTCACGCCTTTTGGAAAGACCGCCCACATTCGTCTCGACAATAGGATAGGGAAAGAAAATCCATAGACGAGACCAACTGGGACCGAACCTTTCTATCTTTTCTTTCTCTTTGCATAAAATTATTTTTCATCACATTAAAATAACTTAACTTTACCTACTGCAATAAAGTCACAAAATTTAACCTATCATAACGGTAAATAAAAAATTATTTCTCGTCTCATCAAAGTAATTGAACTTTACCTAATATAACGACAGAATACACCGATCAAGATGAATTTAATATTAAAGTGTGAGTCAAGATTTGTGACTTTACTGCTATCGTAAGTAAAGTTCAGTTACTAATTCTAATGCAAGAAAATATTAGTGATTTTACTGTTCTAGTAAAATGACATTCAGTGATCATACGTGAAATTAACCTTGTCGCTTCCCTCTTTAAAATCATGTCCCTCCACTTGATCAAGGACAAGTACTAAAGCCATGATGAATGCCCCATCAATACCAGCCTTGAGGCACAACAAGAAAACATCTTTGCCCATTACAACATTTGTGTCTGGCTCCATTTTTCTTTTGATTTCAGCTACAACCACTTTAGCTTCTTCACTCTGATCTGTTTTGGTAGGATTGTACAAGATGGTGCAGTTTCTTTGTATGTATGAGCCTTCAATGTTGAATTCTTGAATTGGATGATCAGTACTATTACTGTAGACTTGTGCTATTATATCATATTGTCCTATTATTGATGACTTGTAAATGCTGAAGTGGTTCTTGTCCTTCTTTTTTCTCTCCAAGAAATCCTTCCCACCTTTGATGAAGGCTTGGCTTCTAGAGTATTAAAATGGGGGAAAAGAAAAAGGAATTCAGCTTTAGAAAGAGGATTGAACTATGTTTTTGTTACTAGTATAACTCAAAATTTGTTGTAGCGTAAAGGGCAGCCCGGTGCACAAAATATTCCGCATCCACGTAGGGTTCGAAACAGGACCGCACCCCAAGGAGTGTGGTATAGACAGTCTACCCTGATACAAGGGTAAGTGGTAAAAAAGAGAAACTAATTTGAGTTCCCAGGGTTGTTTGATTATATTTTTCCAGTCCTTTTTATCTTCTGTCATTTAGACAAATAATTTTGGTCATGCATATTTGTTAGTACTTTACAAAATTAAGATTACATTAATTTTTATTTAATTCCACCCGTACTGCTCCAAGAAGCCATGTTACCATTAATTACTTATTTAAGAAAAATATAAAAATCAAACACCGCTCAACATAGCATTAAAAATCAAACTCCCGGCCCTTCTAAATTTGAAAACATTCTCTATACTATATTACTATTCGTCCACCTATTTTAGTCTTCTTTTGTTAATACTATACTGGACTGTATATTCCAAAAAAGTCAAACAATGTACTAATTCCTTGAATGTATATATACATATATTTATCCACCTTTAATCTTAAAAAGCAAAAACTCAGCACATAGCAATGGGCAACTATGTGTGATGACGTTACCCAATTATTAATATTATTATGCATCTATTTAACCAACAAAAAAAAGAGTGCTTCCTAACTAAACTAATAAGAACATTTTATCCGTTAGTTTCTAAAATAAAGTAAAACCAAAAGTCAATTTAAACAACAAATAAAGAACTTTTAAAAACTATCATTATTTCCGATGAATTGAGAATTTTGGAAAGAGAAAAAAACAAACGGGAGAAGACTAGAATTTGGCGATGAGAGAAATATTTTACTTTGTGTCTAACACAATTTATGTCACTCCAAAATATATAAGTCGTACGAGGTCAAAATAAAGTTACTTGTAATTTCCATAAAATCAAAAGAGTAATAAAAAAAGGAAAAAGAAATAGACCTTGCGGTGGAGAGTGACAAGAGAAGAGCCCGCTGAATCCATGAGAACGAGTTCTTCCTTGGGTCGTGAATCGGGGCAGTACGATTCGACCCGAAAAACGATTTCACCACCTGAATTGTAAACAATGAAGCCGTCACCAGGGTAGAACAATGAACTCTTATGAACTGTAAGATTTGTTTCATTTTCGAAGCAAAATCTCTCATTCATTATCCCTTTCTCACACCAAATAGAACTCATCCTTCAATTGTTCCTCCCCTTAATTAGAGATTTCAGGTTGTAATAGAGAATACGAATTCGAATAGACTTTATACGTCGCAAATTCAAATTAATTAAACCGCATCTTGATACCAAACGTGGCCAAAAATCTTCAAATTCCAAATGAAAAAATCAATTGCAAAATGAATCAATCAATTATTCAATATGAATCCTCGGGTTGAGAGATGAGACGGAATGGAGTGTATTGTGAGGAGGGAGTTAATGGTATCAGCATTATATATTTTTCTTTTTTGATTATTTTATTCATTGACGGTGGTGGGATGTCAACTTTGAATTAATCTCTGAAGTGATATTTTGACATGGATGTTTGTCTCTATAATTGAATAAATATAATTCTCCCCATTTAACGATGTTTATCCAATTAGCTGCAAAAGTTTCATGCGTTAGTAAATAGTCGAGCGGTCTTTTTATACCAGTAATATTAGTACGTATACTTATATTTTCTTATTCTTAGGATTCGACTATTACTTATTATATTTTTTCGCTTTGATGATCTTATTATCTTCTTGTTGTTGCTGCTTCTTTTTTGTAATGCTTGAATGAAAATTAATGGCAAAAGAAAGAAATTCGAGCTTTTATTGATGAAAATAACTGTGTTACAACTCAGTAGTACAATCAAGCTAGGATCTCAAGCTTGGAACTCGAACTTCAATGGTGGATTACCTGAGAAATAAAAAATGAAGTGAGAGAGAGAAGAGAAGAGAGGAACGAAGAAAAGAGGAGGGAAATGAATTACCAGATAATTTTGCATGTCTATCTCTGTCCAGCTCTTAGGAATATAAAGCCCAATTTGTTACAACACAGCCCACTACTAACTAATTCTGTTACAACCCACTAACTAACTAACAGCCCATTATCCATCCTTTGTAAGAACTAATCTAGGCCCTTTATTTAGTAAGCTAACTTCTAATCCCATCCATTCAATTCATGCAGCTAACACAACACGTGTAAAATCTGAAGGTCTAATAAACTGCCACGTCACTCTTCTCATTTTTATCTTTTAAACGTTTCTTCAGCTCACTTTCCAAATCTGAACCCTAATTTTACTCCTTTCCCAATTTAGAGATAGTCTCCTTCAGACATAACAATACCCCCTTGTCCAAATCGGCCTTGTCCTCAAGGCCGGAGTTGAGCCACAAAGTCAGGAAACTGGCCCTTGATGTACCCCCAGTCTTCCCAAGTCGCTTCATCAGCTCCCAGGTTCGACCACTGAACAAGAACCTTGACTGTTGCCGCATTATTAACCTTGACGATGCGTCGCTGGAGAATGGCCACTGGTTGAACCATCAAGCGTCCGTCTTGTCCACAACTAGGAGGTTGGAGTTGAGCCACCACATCAGGTCCTATGCGTTTCTTGAGGTGGGATACGTGAAACACTGGGTGGATCTGAGAGCATGTTGGAAGCTCTAAGCGGTAAGCCACTGTACCTATCTTCTGTGTGATTTTATAGGGACCATAGTATTTAGCACCGAGTTTCAAATTTTTTCTGACTGCTACTGAAGCTTGCCTGTAGGGTTGTAGCTTTAAGTAAAGCCAATCTCCCGCATTTAAACTTCTGTCGGTCCTATTTTTATCTGCAAAGAACTTCATTCGAGCCTGAGCCATTTGTAGATTTTCTTTCAAATGTTGTAACATAGTCTGTCTTTGAGCAAGTTTAGCCCCTACAGTAGTGTGAGTGGAGTGTGGTAGGGAGCCCATGTGAATCTGAGGAGGTGGGTAACCATAAACAACCTCAAATGGGGTGGCTTTAAGGGATGTGTGGTAGTTAGTGTTGTACCACCACTCAGCTAATGGAAGCCACTTGAGCCAGTGATTAGGATTGTAAAAAATCATGGCCCTGAGGTAAAGGATTCTAGGCACCTATGAAACCTCTCCGTTTGACCATCTGACTGGGGGTGATAGGAAGTAGACATGTTGAGTTTGGTTCCCATGGATCTAAACATTTGCTGCCAGAATTGACTAGTGAATAGGGGATCTCTGTCAGTTACTATGGATTTGGGCAGACCATGTAACTTATACACCTCCTTTAAGAAAATATCTGCAACCTCCTTAGCTGTGTAAGGGTGTTTGAGAGGAATAAAATGGCCATATTTAGTAAGTGTGTCTACCACCACCAAAATAGAATTTTTGTGCTCAGAGTGAGGCAGGCCTTCAATGAAATCCATGGCTATATCTTGCCATGGTCCTTCAGGGATGGGTAAGGGTTGTAATAAGCCTGGATAATGCACATGTTCAGTCTTTACCCTTTGGCATACATCACACTCAGCAACCCATTTATGTATGTCTTCCTTCATCTTTGGCCAGTAGAATCCCATCTGAACTCTCCTGTATGTACCATGCTGACCAGAGTGACCCCCAAGGGTGACTGATGGAACACCCGAAAGATTTTAGTCCTGAGATCAATATTTCTTCCCACCCAAATTTTCTGTTTAAATCTGATGATTCCCTGTTGTAAGGAGAGGTCTGGTTTGTTGAGAGGGTTGGTGATCAACTCAGTTACCAAATGTAAAGTCCATAGGGTCATGTTCATAACTCTGTACAATCTCCTCCATCCAAGTTGGATTGGTAGTAGTGATGGCACATAAGGAGGACTCTTCTTCTCCTCTTCTAGATAGTGCATCTGCAACCCTGTTCTCTGTTCCCTTCTTGTACTGGACTTCATAGTCTAAACCAAGTAGCTTGGCCAGACCTCTTTGTTGGAATGCAGTGGTCACCCTTTGCTCTAACAGATACTTTAAGCTTTGGTGATCTGTTCTACTAATAAAATGCCCCCTGTATATAGTGTCTCCACTTATCTACAGCTGATAGAACAACCATGTAGTCCTTTTCATAGGTAGACAAGCCTATGTGTCTAGGACCAAGGGCCTTGCTGAAGAATGCAAGAGGTTTGCCTTCTTGCACTAGTATAGCCCCCACCCCTGTTGAGCATGCATCAGTCTCCACAATAAAGGTCTTTGTGAAATCTGCCAGGGCTAACACATGTGCAGAAGACATTGCCTGCTTCAATGCTGAGAAGGCAGTGTCAGCTTCTATAGACCACTGGAAGGAATTCTTCTTCAGTAGACTGGTTAGGGGTCTACTGATAACACCATAAGATTGTACAAACCTCCTGTAGTAGCCTATTAGACCCAGAAAACCCCTTAGAGCTTTGATGGATTTAGGCACAGGCCAATTAGTCATAGCCTCTATTTTGGAAGGATCTGTAGCTACACCTTCCCCAGCATTACAACAAAAAGGGGCTTTAGCGGCAATAAAAAAGGTCATTGGCGGCAATAACAATTGCCGCTATACCATATACCAGCCATTGATGTTTAGCCGCTGATATTGGGGTCGGCAAAGCCTTTAGCGGCGTTTCTCACAAAAGCTGGTAAAGGTGTGACTTATTGCCGCTAAATATGATTTGCTTTAACGGCAATTGTTTGCGGCAATTATGATGGCTGCTAAATCCAATCTAAAAACGGCTACTAATGCTCTTTTACGTCCATTTTTATAGCCGCTAAATTCAAAACATTTGTCGCTATAGGTCCATAGCTTTAGCGGTAATTGTTTTGTGGCAATTAGAATAGCTATAATATTTCTTCTGAAAACGAATTAGTATCCCTTTTAGCATCCATTTTAATGGCTAGTAAATTCAATTAAATTGCCGCTAAAAATCATTTTTAACAACAATTATAATGGCTACAATATCCCCTGTGGAAACATCATAATTTGCCCTTTTAGCATCTATTTTTGTAGCCAGTATATTCTGTTAAATTGTCACTAAGTCACAAGCTAAAACGACAATAGTTTAGCCACCATTAATAATAGCTACTACATTCATTCAAAAAATGATCCAAATAATAAAACATAATAATATTGATTCATAAAAACATAATGTATCTCGTTAAATCTTAACAAACAAAAGGAAGTACAAATCCAAAATAGTAATATCACGGTAACTTAAAAAATAAACTTATATTGTTTGAAGCAAATAGCTATTGTCATTATATAACTAATCCTAACAAATAATAGTCTTCAAATAATTTCTGCAATGCTTCATCATTTAGAAATCTTCCACCGGCTAAATTATCGATCATCAGACTGTATGACCTGGAATTACAAAATAACTATGTCAATAGATGAAATATAATAGTCTTCAACTGGGATGTTTATCGAGCAAACATTGACCCAAGCTAAAGTTGTTTTACTGTAGAATGACAGTTCCATTTTTTCTATAGAATAAGACATAACAAATCCGACCGAAACAAATCAAACTATAATAGTGTAGATAAGAAGTAAATCAGAGGAATTTGCAAGATATCAAGCAAATCAGAAAAAGATTTAAGCTTTCAAAAGTGTGCAAGATCTCCAGGGCAATAAGGCTGAAAACCACTCCAACTAGTTTCTCATGTATTATCCAGAAAGTTACGCCACGATAAAATGACTATGATTTTTGTGATAATCAGTCCTATCCAGATAAAGGTTCCTAGTCAGTAGCGACTTAATCTACAGATAAAGAAGGTTAAACATTTCGTTTCTTTCTAAGGACATCCCTTCTATATGGTATATTAGTATCAGCATGACAAAAAGTACACTTCACAGATATGATTATTCTCTCCAAAAACAGGATTAATTGTAATTTCTTCAAGACCTCAAGGGCTGTGACAAACCAGGATAGCTCATAAATACCATATAAATTTCAAATTGATGAAATAATAATCAACAGTTCAAACAAACAAAAGCATTGATTCAATTCAAACTTCTTTATTTCTTATAGCAACAAACCAATCCAGGTTGTCTACCCTAATGTTTGAACACTTTCTATGAGCTTGTAAATTGTTTCATGAAGTGGTAAGATTCAGCACGCTGCAAGAATCAAATAGATCTCACCAACCATCATCATATCCAAAACAACCATGCTTAGAGACACCATGAAAGCTATCATTATGGCCAATGGTAGGTTTATTAAGTGTAGATACATTATCAAAATCCAATTAGTGACACCAGTAAAACCTAAAGGTGAGAATATCACTGTACTAGATGCTCCGACTCCTAATGGAAATCGAGCTATGTTTGCACTGATGGACAGAGAAGAAGAGATCTGCAACACAGAATCAACAGAACTAATGAACATGCAAGGGTTTGAGGAAGTGGCTAGATCAATATGTCCTGAAAGAGGATCTACTCCCTTTTCTTCTCCTATTTTTGTTACAAACAAACTGCAAGATGTAGTAGTACATGAGGAACCCACAGCACTTATGTTAATTCACTGAGTT